AGGGCACACGAGTACCACATGTCCTCATTGGAGGCGTGCGTCCGACCCGAACATCTAGGCATGACCATCTTCTGGTATATCGTTTCCCGAGCGGTATGGCCAGAAAGCGCCCGCCACGTGGCTTATACTATAAGATTTCTCAGTGCGCAAGCCGCCCCGGAGGGGGCGACGCACACATAGTAGTAGTAGTAGTAGTAGTAGTAGTAGTAGTAGTAGTAGTAGTAGTAGTAGTAGTAGTAGTAGTAGTAGTAGTAGTAGTAGTAGTAGTAGTAGTAGTAGTAGTAGTAGTAGTAGTAGTAGTAGTAGTAGTAGTAGTAGTAGTAGTAGTAGTAGTAGTAGTAGTAGTAGTAGTAGTAGTAGTAGTAGTAGTAGTAGTAGTAGTAGTAGTAGTAGTAGTAGTAGTATGCTGCGGTGACGCCGAAGAAAGGGCGATGGCAACAGGCAGATTTCATGGCCCTGGCCAGGAGTTCGTCCTCCCCCCGTCTCCGACGCCCCCGGACGGGCGAACGCCGTGCTCGAGAGAGGCGGAGCCCCCGTGCTGGAGCAGGGGAGCGCGGCGTCGGGGGCAGGAGCGGGGCGAGGAGGGAGCGCCGGACTGTCCGCCCGGCCCGCCCTGCCCTCGCCCAGCTGGCTGCGTGAGAATCGACCCGAGAACTCATCGAATCGGGGCAGGCCCCTGGGCGGAGGCACGCCTGCGCGTCGTCCTGTGCTGGGTGGCGCTCAGGCGTGCCTCCGCCCAGACGTCGGCGAACAATCGATGGGTTCTCGGTGGAGGTGACCCATGCTTCTCCTCTGACTGCAGTAACCAAACAAAAACAGGACTGGCCATCTTGGACACAGATTGGCAACTCTCCGTCGCTTTATTGTCAATGATGAGCCACATCTGACTAAGTCGAAGAGCGGGGGAAGGGGCTTGAAAGGGGCGTGCCACTCCTTGGAAAAAAAATCTTGCCCCGAATCGTGGCTGCCGCGATCGCCGTGGCGACCTCCAGAACCGATACGGAGGCTTGGTTCGGGGTCGGATATCACGCAACGGCCAGCGCCTCTCGATGGCGAGAGCCTTTTCTGGAACTTCCTACATATTCCCCGTCGACCTCGTCGTCGGACGTCGTCGTCATCGTCGTCGTCAGTCTGCCCCCCAGTCCCAGGGAGGTGGGGCAGACTGTTCTGCTGATCCCCGGCACCGTGAAGTCGAGCAGGTTGGTGCGCGTGATGGCCGAGGTGTCGAAGTAGACCTCGGCTGCGAGGGGAACGAAAAACACGGCCTGCCGCAGGGGAACCCTGGCGGCCAGGCCAACGCAGTCTGGCTGACCCCCGACGGCCCATCCCCACGAAGACGTTAGGTGGGCCCTTCCCTTGCCCAGGGTCTCTGTGTGCTGAGGCAGCGTAGGGAAAACAAAGCTGGCGCCCGAGACGCAAAGTTTGAGGTCTGCGCAACTGCTAGGAGGCGATGGCATCCTCTCTGCCGTTCTTGCTTTGAGCAGCCGATGCGCCGTGAGCCGCGCGTTGAGTCCGCTAGCCGCCCCCCCGAGCCACGTCGGGGCACTGACGCGAGCAAGCAGGACAGAAACTGCGCGTAGAAGAGGCAAAAGAAAGCTGTGGGCTCAAGAGGAGGGGAAATGGGGAGAGACGTGCCCTGGAGTTGGCGTCCGCCGCGCGCAGCTTGAACCGCGCGAGTGGAACCAGAACGGGTGCGAAGGTAGTGAATCTGGGTGGTAGGCCGTCGCCAGCGACAGCACAACCGAACACCTACAAAACCGACAGCGAAACCTGAACCGACAGAAACCGACAGGCCGCAAGCAGCCTAGAAGGGCGCAGCGGCGCAGCAACGACACGACGACCGAACCGAATTGACCGAACGCAACCAAGTGCGACGCAACCGAACCGACCGAACCGCAAACATCCTTGCGTTCTCGTTTTCCGGCTTGTCGGGTCTCAATACGGCCGCTCGTGACAACCCTGGTTCCCCCTTGCAAGACCTCGGTGAGGCGCAGCTGCTAGAAGGCAAAGCATCCCGGTGCCGAACCGACGAGACGTCCAAAAACCTCGAGGCCTGAGATCCGACGACCGCGAAATGCTTTTATTATGTTCGGTAACGGTCGTTACCGGGGGGGGGGGAGCGGGGTGGTCGGGGCCCCAGGTGATGGTACTGCTGGGGCGCGCGTTGGAGCGGGGTGCGCTGTGATCGCCATAGGATGCGCGTGAGCACCAGCATGGAGGGGGGGCTCCAGGCCACCCCGATCCTGCGTACGATCGTTAGCGTTATCTGGGGTGGGTGGTGGTCCAGATAACGACTGTCACGCGCCAAGGCACCAACAAAAAAGATCCTGCGTCTCGGCTTTTTCGAGGCACGGGCCCCCGACATCTCGACCGCTTCCCTTGGACCACTTACTTATCCCGAATCGTTTTGTGACGGCCCCGAGGCCCAGCAACGGCCCACGGCCCCGAGAGGCCGAAAACTATTGAACAAATTCTCGTCTCAATTTCTCGAGACGCCAGATGACTGCGATCTCTGCCCCCCCCCCAGCCGAGGGGACGTCTCTGGGGATCTCGGTCGCCTCGTCGAGCCACGGCCTCACGCGCCGGCGCCGCTTCGGCGGGCCCTGCCCCAGCAGCGCCAGCGCGCCGTCCTAGCGAGGGGGGCGGTGGGGGCCGCCGCCTGTGCAGGTGCGGGCGGGCTCGGCGGGCAGAGGTATGCCCATGTGTGTTCCCCTGGGACGACATGCGGAAACCTAGGAGACTTAGCCGCCCCGAGACGCAACACGCAAAGCGACGCGTGTTGACACATAGCTCAACACTTCGACTGACGACCTGAGTCTGGCGCGATGCTCGCCAAAACGTGTGCCAACACGCGCCGAGCCAATCCGCAGCGTGTTATGAACACGGTACGTGTTGCGTTTCAAAGCGAGCGTACCAGGGCAACCAAGCTCGGATGCAGCTTCCTTTTAGCAAGGTGCCACGACCCAAGGAAGAGCTCGGAAGGGACCTTGCTGTGACTGCTGTGGAAGACAAGCCGCCAGCGCTGGAGGGGGCGGGGGGAGCTTTTGTTAGAGGATTCCTCTTTTGCAGGCGCCTCCGCCCCACGCCAGGCCAGCGGCGTAGCAGGAAAGGCGGGTGGGCGGCCTGAGATCCTGGAGTCAACCTCTCTGTTCGCCCTGGGCGCTGTCGCTCAGATTCGGGCCCTGGCGCCCTCGCAGGTCGATCCTGCTCGAGGAGTGCCACGGGAAGGTGGGGTTGATGGCTCATGATGCTGGGGTAGCACTGCCTTCCCGGGACCAGCGTGGCGGCGCCTGGGGCTCTATCAGCGGTCCCAGCGTGGTGGAACAGAACCAGCCGAGTGAATCGCGCCATCCTCCAGACACCATCATCATAATCATCATCATCATCATCATCATCATCATCATCATCATCATCATCATCATCATCATCATCGTCATCATCAGCATCATCAGTATCATCATCCTCATCGTCATAATCATCAGCATCATCACCATCATTACCAGAACCACCATCTTCATCATCGTCGGCACCATAAACATCACCACTACAGGCCATCATCACCATCATCACTGCCAGCATCATCACCATCATCATCATCATCATCATCATCATCATCATCATCAGCATCATCATAGCCAGCATCAGCATCATCAGCATCAGCATCAGCATCATCACCATCATTCCCATGATCATCATCATCATCATCATCGTCAGCAACATCATCACCACCACAAACCATCATCACCATCATCGCTGCCAGCATCAGCATCAGCATCATCCTTATCGTCATTATCATCATCATGATCAGCATCATAATCATCAGCATCATCATCGCCACCATCAGCATCATCACCAGCAGCCTCTGCATCAGCATCAACATCAGCACCATCATTTCCATGAGCATCAGCTTCATCAGCATCGTCAGCACAATCATCACCACCACAAACCATCATCACCATCATCACTGCCAGCATCATCATCACCATTATCAGTATCAGCATCATCATCATCATCATCAGCATCATCATCATCATCATCACCGCCACCGTCACCATCATCAGCATGAGCATCATCTTCATCATCATCGTCAGCACCATCATCATCAGCATCAGCATCATCATCACCGCCAGTATCATCATCAGTACCACGATCATCATCAGCATCATCAGCATCAATCAGCATCATCGTCATCATCAGCAGCATCACCATCAGCATAATCATCATGATCTTCCCCAGCATCACCTTCATCATCATCACCGCCATCATTACCATAGTCAGTATCATCATCAGCAGCATCAGCATCATTATCAGCATCATCATGCTCATCAGCAGCATCATCATCATCGCTGCCACCATCATCATCATCATCATCATCATCATCGTCATCAGCAGCAGCAGTATCATCAGCAGCAGAAGCATCAGCAACAGCATCAGCATCATCATCATCATCATCATCATCATCATCATCATCATCATCCTCATCCTTGTCCTAATCCCCATCCTCATCATCAGCATCACCATCACCGTCACCATGACCATCACCAACATCTTCACCATCATCACCATCACCATCAGAATCACCATCACCATCATCATCATCATCATCAGCATAATCATCATCACCATCACCATCACCATCATCATCACCACCAACATCATCATCATGGTTGACATCTTCCCGAGGCCGTTTTGGCCCATAAGCTTGTTTGCTGGGCGTGAGGGTGCGCAACCGCCCAGAGCCGGAACCCAAGACCCGCAACAGACCGCAGAGCGACTCCCACACGCAGCTGCAAACGCACAGCTCGGCGCCTCGCTGCCCTCCCTCTTGCTCGAGGCTGGCGAACGGCGGCCCGCGCGCGGGAGGGGGGATGGCACGAGAGGGCGGAGAGGATACGGACGATGGCACGAGAGGGGTAGCACGAGAGGGGTAGCACGAGAGGGGTAGCACGAGAGGGATAGCTAGCACGAGAGGGATAGCACGAGAGGGACAGCACGAGAGGGACAGCACGAGAGGGACAGCACGAGAGGGATGGCACGAGAGGGCGGGGGAGAGATAGCGCGAGAGGGACAGCGCGATAGAGAGAGAGGGCGCGCAGGAGGCAGAGCCGGCGAGAAGAGGCGGGGGCCGTCGGTTGGCGGCGCGCACAAGGAGGGTAGGGCAAGCAGGGGAGGCTTCCTGGAAGGGGGCTGCTTCTTGGAACGCGCGGGCACTGCATCTACAGACAGGGCCCGCGCCTTCTGAGAAGCAGGGGTGCTTCCAAGAAGCCTTACCCCTCCCCATACCCCCCTCTGCGCGTGGCTGAATCGGAGGCGGGGGGGGGGCAGATACATTCAAAATTAATATGCGAGATGAAGATGCAAGCCCCTTGGACGCCGGTGTCGAAGCTTCTCGAGCGGGGCTGACCATCGAAGGTGGTGAAGGACGGACCGAAGAGGCACGGATGCGAGGGTACCCTTGGAAACAATACCCATCCTTTACCATCGGTTTCGACTGTAAGTCGCCGGACAAAGGGCCCCTGCAGTGGAACCAAATCGGGAAGCCGCTAGCTGACCCTCGCTTTCTTGGGGCGGGTCAGCAGAGGGCTCTGAGCCCCTACAATTGGAGTCCCATCCCAGAGATCCGACAACGCCCAAAAATGCAACATCGTGAACGCCCTGGACCCCATTTCTACTGCACTTTTTGACCCAGATCGAGATGTAAGGGTCCTAGTGCCCGAAATCATGCGAAAACGCACAGCTCGAAAAAGATGCGACGCCAGAATATGAGGGATTATTAGAGCTCGAAAAACGGAAGCCCTCTATTCGCCTCTCCTGAGGGGGGGGGAGAAAGAGAGAGAGAGAGAGAGCCGAAGCTCTGGCACGTAGCAAAGCAGAATACCATGGACAGCATGTAGGGGGGCCAAGATGGCCAGGACGGCACACGCTCCATCTACAAAGGCGAGCGCACACGACACGGTGGCAGGTATCACGAAAGATAGGGAAGTGAACAAAAGGCTACGGCAGGCTCGCGTCAAGCCGACTTCGGCGTTGGTTCCTGACACCGCGGGGATCGTGGGTCGAACGAACCGCACGAACCACCACTGCAGACAGCCGTCCAGGCCTACCTGAGACCTGGTGGGAGACGCCGTGACCTCCTTAAGCATGCACTGCTGGAACACAAGCGGCCGTTCATGCGAACGACGCGACACCGGGAGATCCCGGGTCGCCGGCGGCGTCCCAGGTTGCACGCCAGCGGCGGGTCGCCGCCGGTCGACAGGACACGAACCCACCGCAGGGCGGGGCGGGGCGAGGCTGGCTGGCGTCTGCCTTTCTTCAGGGCCTCTGGGGAGGGCCCGCGCCGCCGCGGCTGGGCCCGCCCCTCTCGCGGCCCCCGGTCGGGGCGCGCTCCACGGGGCCGGCCCATGGGGCAGGTCTCCGGAGGCACTGGGGGGCCTCCGGGGGGCCCGCTCTCCCACGGTTCTCCAAAGGGGAGCAGGTTCCTGGCGAGGGTGCCGTCAACATCCATAGTAAGGATGCACGGTGAGGATGCAAGACCCTCGAAGCCCCGTTTGCCATTCAGAGCTCCTTCGACGTCAACATTGGCTCAGGATGGGCCGAAGAAGCAGGGATGCAAGGGTAGCCTCGATGAAGCAGCGCATGCTTACTGTGGATTTTGACTGTACGTCGGCGACGTCCAAGTGGGGGGCGTCCAAGAGGGGATTCGCAAATCACGGCCCGAGGCATGTGTGCAGACGAGGGGGGAGACCAGAGGACGCCTTGAAATAGGAAGAGGGGGCAATGAAAACCGGGGAGATTTCATGGACCCGCCCATGATATCCACACACCCCTAGGTCATCACCCCATCGTGGCCGCCCCCGAGTACTGGAGCTCATGACGCATCCGGGGGGCCTTGTTGTTCGTCGCGTGCCGTTTTTTCCGATTTGTCCGGGAGCCCTGAAAACAGCCCCACCAGATCGAGATTGATCAGGAACGGCCGTCGTCCTTTACGAGACGCCTGGAGGTCGAGGATTGTCTGGGGCTGAAAAGATCTCTGGAGGTCCCCGAAGAGTCTATGGCGGCCCCCAGGGCCCTCCAGAGGCCCACAGAGGCTTCCAGGAGGCTGAAAAAAAACACTCAAATAACTTCGATCCTCCTTCTCCTCCTTCCCTGAGATCCGCCGCCGCGAACAAACATACACCATCGAGAAAAATTATGACCAATGGCCCCAGAGCTCACTTTTCTGCGGCACCTCTCGGGACAGATCGAATTGCGAGGGCCCCGCGGCCCAAGTGCGAACAAAATGCGACCCAAACGCCCAAGGCGAAGAGAAATGCGATGCCCAGATGCCCGGGTATCTCAGCGATCCTCTTCCTTCTCATCCTCCTCGGGTGCGCTGAGGAGGGGTGTCAGGAAGAGGGGGGTTAGCGCATTATGGTCCGAGGCGTGTGCGCGGACGAGACGGGGGGCCAGGGAGCGCGTTGAGAGAAGAAGCGGTGGCCATGAAATCTTGCAGATATCGTGGTCCTGGCCATGGTACCCTGAGATATGGGCTTCGCTGTATTTTTCACACCGTGGGCGTTCGATTGGCTGCGGGCCTCTGGATCCTTACTGGCCAATCCAGCTCGAGAAGTGCCACAGAAAGATGGAGTCG